TCGTACATATCTGGGGTAATGTCGGGGGCTCGGAGCTCCGCCTCCAGCTGGCCTAACGGGACGTCGCGGAGAGGACGCTTGGACCGGGTCCGGTACGCCATCACCCCGGACTCATCCTCTGACTCAGACATAGGCTGAGGAAGTCAGATTAATCACCAGTAGAAAGAAAATTATACATAGTTTTCAAGGTTTTAAACAAATAAAAATCTGAAAAGTGTGGCATGTTTTTATATTTAGTCCATCAGAATCATCTTTGTCCTGAAATTAAGGCTTATATAAATCTTCAAATAGTTGAAATAATATGGCACACTTACATACAGAAAACGGCAGAGTACTCAAAAATTGTACTTAAGTAAAAAGTAGCCGTCCAAGAAACTACTTAAGTAGGAGTAAAAAAAATAAAGTTGGTAAGGCTCCTTAAGTACTGAGTAACTGTCCCAAATGAAATCTGCTTAGACCCCCAAAAAGGCTTTGTCCCTGCTACAGTTACCTGGTACGGCTCCATGCAGCCAGCTAGCTCCTCCTCAACCGCATGCAGCTTCTCCAGGAAGCTGCTGTCAGTCGCGCCTTTGGAGGGCGGGGCTTTAGGAGGAGGAGGGGGCCCCATCAACCCTTCCTTCAAACGCCGGGACCGAATTCGAGACGTCTGAGAAGACAGAGATGCAGAGTGACCGTAGATAATGGCGACTTTCAGCCAATCCTGTGGTTATCAGTCGCTACCTGCCAGGGGCTGCAGCTGTCGTCTTCGGCTCGATTCAGCCGAGTCCCTCTGGGGGACGAAGCTGTGCTCTCCATGTCGCTCTCCTGGAACGTCTGAATAATGAAAATAAATAAAAACAATATAAAATTAGGCCTGGGCAATAAACCAATAATATATATCGCTATAGACACGTGATCAATGTCAATGGAAAATATGTCTAACCAAACATTCAATAATTTCACTGAACTCCGATCCAGAACCGTACAGCATTCTGGGAGATGTAGGCAGAGGAAAGAGGAAAGACTTTAGCAACTCAACCTCTGAATGCGAGCTAACCCAGGTTGGTGGATCAACTGACTCAATCTCTCTATGGTTATCTAGCAACTCACCTAGCAACTATGGTTACCTAGCAACTCACCCAATCTATGGTTACCTAGCAACAAACTACTGAGTAACTGGCACAGCAGCAGTTTAAAGTTTCACTACTGTGCTTCATAACTGCTTCAAAATAAAAAACAATGGCATGGAGTAAAAACTGGATAAAACATGAAAGGTCTGGCAGAATTCTAGATATTTAAAACAAAACAAAAAACTAATCAATAATTATCAGTATTGATTGATATAAAATGATTGCATTGCGATACGTTTTTCAGCCATACCGTCCATCCCTGACAGGAATTAATTATTAATGACAATAAATTAAATTTAGCCATTAAAATCAAAGCCTCACATCTTCAGCCGTCTCATCCTCCTCTTCCTCGTCTGGGCGGTATTCTTCGTCAGAGGAGTCTTCCTCATCCAGTGGGATGTCCACAAACTGAGGAGCCTGAAACAAAATTATTTTGGACTAAATTTCATAATTTACTGATAAGTCTGGACATCCGTGCTTTGCATAAACCAAAAGAAAGTTCCTGTTCTTGAATTATTTACAATATTGTTTCGTAATGAGTTAAACAGATATACCAGAATTAAGTAGATTTGAGGTTCATGAAATGATAAAAACCAACATGTAGGTTTTTATTAAAGAGGAGTGAACTGTCAGACTGACAGATTATGGATAAAATGTTGCATTGTTGTGTTTTACCTTGGCGGCGTCGCTGCTTTTCTTGATGGGTGAGATATTCCAGGTGGGAATCACCTGACGGGAAACGGAAACATGAACAAACTATGGCTGCAGCTGCATTTCAGATCATTTATCTCTTCAGAAACAGACTCACCACACCCTTCTCCACCACTTCTTTAAACTTGGATCGAGTCATTTTAGGCTCCTGGAACAGAAAATACTCATAATTATAAGAATGTGAGGATTCAGCTGGAGCTGCACTAAGTTTTTTTTTTTTTAACTGGAGACTCACAAACGGAGGAACGGCTTCTGTCTCATTGATGGCCGCTTTCATCATGGCAACCACATGTTCATTGGTGATCACTTCCTAGAAAACAAACATTAAAAAAAAAGAAACATTACAGATCAAAACATTTTATTTTTGCTTACATGAATCACCTACATAAAATAAACTGAATAATTCATTATTTTAGTGTCTTTTCCTGTTCCTCAAAGGACAAAACTGACCTATGCTTATTATTTACAGCATTGCTTCACAATTTATTTTTTAAAATAAGATTTTAAACTCATTTTTAATTGTTTTATTAGTTTATTTCTTTTTTGTTAAAGACTTTGTGTTTGACTTTTTCTTTGGCCAAGTGGTTAAACACAGATTTAACCAATCGACCAACATTTAGGGCTGAAACGATTAATCGAAATAATCATGATTAATCAATTATTTAAATAATCATCAACTAATTTAGAAATTGATTAATCATTAACTGGAGTATACAGACTCAAAAAAGGTAATGTGCTTAAAAACATGTTCAGAGCAGAAACTAACCTAAAACTGTGCAAAATAAAACAAATTTATACAATAAAATACATTTTACACGAAAGTTACAATAAATTTCAAAATACAATTAATTTTGCATTTAAGATGAAAACACCTTTATCTGCAAATATGTTTAATTGCTCATGTGGTACATTTAGTTTCACTCAGTTCAAAGTAACTAAAGGAACGAAATTATTGCATTTCAGGTGAAAAAAATATTATTTAAATTTATTTAATTAAATATTTGTTTATTTACATTTTTAATTAATTATTAATATTGTATCAAAAAGGCTTCAGTGGTTAAATGAAAATCCGGTAGAATGTGACATGTGACAGTTTTAAACAATCTGTGTAACCAGAACTCACATGAATGATGTTTTTAACGTTCACAGTGGTCAGGTTGTGCTGTTTGGACTTCGTCTCCAGAGCCTGGTCCAGATCTTTGTCGATCTCCACCTCCACGCCCGTCTCTTCCTCCTCCTCCGTCTCCGACTTCCTGCCCTGATCATCAACTTCCTTCTCATTCAGCGTCCGTTTTTTCCGCTTCGCTGCCTTCTTCCTCTGAGCCTTTACTTCCTTCCGGCTGTCCTCTGAGACAGAGATGTTTGAGTTGTCAGTAGAAAAAAACGTTTCCACATTCTGTTGTGCTACAAACACAAATTTCAGTGTTTTTATATGGATAACGTCAAGAGTTTAAATAGTTGTAGTTTGAAATAACAGGAATCATTTATTAATTCAAAGATTATTTATATTGCATATTTATAGCAACAGCAGGTGATTAAAGTGCTTCACTACAATCACACGTAGATAAAAGATAAAAGAAAATATTAAATTTTGTTTGATAAAAATAAAGTCAATTATAAAATTGGCAGAAAATACCAAAAAATAACACGAATAAAAAACCAAGACACACTTATTTTCAACTGCAGCAATTTCCCAAAAAATCTAATCAGTAATAATATTCACTTTTTTACATTTTTTTAAAATTTATTTCTTCAATATTTAAAAAGAAAGAAAGTAATTTAAGACGGAATAATCCTCAGAATAAATGATAACTAAAATATTCATTAGTTCTGAAATGTCTTCATATTTTTGCTCAGAACCAGCTTCAACAATCAGTAGTTTATCCATGTTGAATGTGAAGACAGGAAGACAAACGTGTTTGTGTTACCCATAGTGATGATGAGACTGGAGTCAGTGGTATCTTCCTCCACCAGCAGGTAGCCTTCCTCCTCCTCTTCCCCAGCCTGACATGGAGCAGGTGGTGGCAGCAGCATGCCATCATCAGAGCTGAGCGGCGCTGGTCCAACACCGGAGCTGCTGGAGGCATGCTGCTGCTTGGCTGGGCTTAATTTCAGGCGTTTTCGGGCTGAGCTCATAGTGGAGAAACATGACCTCTGATCTCTGAGCCAGACAGAAGAACATCCTTTAATTAAACTTTAGATATGTAGAAACACTTTACAATGAACAAAAAAATGTCAGGAAATGAAAAAGGAAACTCACTGCCTCTTCCAGCTGCAGACTGAAGCTCCTGTAAAATGAAAACAATGTTAGATTTCAGCAGATGTTGGTCCCCAGCACCAGTGTAACCTCTCACTGAGCTGCTGCTAGTGTTAAAGTTAATGTTGGATCCTGATATTAAGCAGTTAGTCTGATTAGCAGCCGCCCGCAGATAAACTCACGCCTGTTGGGTCTCCGAGTGGTAAGGCTGATAAGAAGCCCAGGATGAGGCTACAAAGCTAACAACACTCCAGCTGGTTAGCGGCTAACGGCCCGCTCCTTCCAAACGCAGCCGATTTCCGGTGAAAACGTCCCGTCCAGGAGTCTTTGTCAGCCCGGTGTCGCTTCTGGGTGGAGGGAACCTTAACCACCAGAATCCATCGCTACTCACGCACACTTACCGCCACAACCAATAGGTTGTTCCTCCCAAAAAAAAAAAAAAAAAAAAAAAAAACTACATTTCCGGCGTCGCGGCGCCGACGTGACGCAATCAATATGCGGTTTCTAGGGGTGTATGGCAAGCCGTTTGTATATTTATATACGTTAACTTTAGAAAATACGGCAAGCCATTGTGTAAATATTGAGCTTCGTGACCACCTATCAACTTTTCGGCAGCAAATCAAAGCCTGGTACAGAGAGGGCTTTTATAGCTACCGCGAAAGCACAATTTTAGCTTACTTTCAATGTGTATATTCCTGCTATTAAACTTGGTATTTTAGTTGGAAAGAAATGCAGTCTTAAGTTCAGATTTGTCCCCCCCGCCAAAAAAAAAAAAAAAAAAACTGTCACACATTGAACACATCCTCTTTAAATCAGATATTTATAACCCAGACAGAGTTGATTTAGAGTTGAAAGGACATCGATTTTTGACACTAAAGTATATTCTGCATATGGTCAAGTGAAGATAAAAGGAAATGAACATGAACTGAAATAAAAATCTTTATTAAAATAGCCTTATTATAAAACATGAGTAAATCGAGATCATCTCATTTAAGAACGAGCAGGACTGAGCGCCTTCAGAGCAGCTGCAGGTTTCTTCAGCTCCTCCATCACCTTCAGGCCCAGCGCCTTAACGGGCCGCAAGCTGACCAGGGACCGACCGGTACCGTCGGTAGGAGAAACTTCCGCTGTGTCCTTCGGTACCGCGGCAGTCACAGTCACCTTAACGCGTCTGCGGTGGTGAAACAGAGACTCCCTCCGGTTGGTGGACGGCGTGGTGGCCAACACGTCGCGGAAGCCGTAAGACGTCGTCACCTTCGGTACGTGCAGCAGCGACAACGCCGCTCGCGTCGTCGGGTCCATATCGGCGACGCGATGGCGGCAGGCCCGCGGAGAGCGCAGGCGACGCCAGGAGGACGACCGAGTCGGGCTGGTTCCGGTTGGGTCCTCGTCGTCATCTTCCAACAAGAGCCTGGAGCGGGTCGGGGAGTCCCGGTGGAACATCGGAGAGGCCCGATATGAAGAGGGGATGATGAAGGTCGGGATCCGTTCCGGAGTCAGAACCACAGCCCGAATGGACGCTCCGTATTTCATCAGTTTATCTTGAGACAAAGAGTCAAATGGATAAAATTTACGACTTGGAGGTAGTTTGTAAACTTTTAGACTTTCAGGGAAGATTCGATAAAATCCCGATGAGGTCCAGACGAACCAGCAACTCAACTTCACAATCCTGAAGTAGTTTCCCTCCCCAATACAACCACAAATCGACCACTCCTGAAGAGAATAAATAAGTAAATAAACAGCTTTTATTTAAAAATAATTAAATAACCATACCTGAACAGTTCTCTACAAACCAGTTCCTGGCGCTGGTACCAGTGCTCAACTGGACCGTCATGGTGTTTATATAAGCAGCTGCAGGTGGGACCAATCAAAGGCCTGATTGAAACGTTTTAACTGGCTGAGTTCTAACTGATTTCCTTTTCTTTTTTTTCTTTTTACTATAGAGAACAGCCTTTACTACAAAAGGTGAAGAATGATACAGAAATCAGTAGAACAAATAGCTAAAGAACAAACTTCGGCTCCTTTTTTCCTTTCGCCGCTCTGTGCTTCACGCTGTCACGGTTGCTATGCAACATAAGCTTCTCTCTTCCGGTCGTCGATATTCGCGGTCTTCGAAGGACCCGGATGCAGACCCTGAATTCGGACACAGCTTTTAACATAAGTCTAGGAAACGTGACTTATTACGCGAGAACATAGAATTCGGCGGGTTTGATGTCTACGACGTGTGAATAAACGTCATAAACGTCAGGGTCTTTAGTTGTATTGTCTTCTTCTCTAACCTTCACTTTGCACTCATTTGTGGCAGAGCCCTGCTCAGTACTTGTTCTTGCTATTTTAGCAGAAAACTTTCAGCTTATCCCGAAACCAGTGAAGTCTTTAGCGATTATGCCAAGCGGAATGAATTCTCCAACCCAGACCGTCACAGTCCACACCCTGAGGAGTATAGTCCATCCACTTTTCATCCACTTGACCTGGATGGAGTGGATGCGTCTGGCAACAGGAGACCCAGCTCGCACCACCACCTGCGTTCTGGTCAGGATTTTGGAAGATATCCTGCAGCTCTTTATATCTAATGCTCTGGATAGTCTTCCAAAGGACAATTGCACCACAGAAGCCATAGAAGCAATAGTTGGCAACAAGGTGCCTGAAGCCTTTGCAAGAGTCGTGAAGGTCAGTGGAGAAGTCCAAACAGAACACACTGCCAATTTAAACAAGCTCATTGTCAAATATGTAGTGGAAAGAGTCAATTCTAGCTTACACTCTGACTCTGACGACAATTCCAGCAATCACGTTGATGAAGCAATCAGTGGTATGGTAGACGAAATCAAAGTGATGATAAAAGACCTTTTTGTCAGATTGCATGCAGAGGAATCCAAGAAAGCCGTTGTCTGCCGAGATGAGCCAAAATCTATGTTCCAACGTCTTACAGGGAGGATCAATGGGTTTTTCACTAAATTCACTCGGAGACATTCGTCTAGGGTTGCTCCAGTGAATCTGCCAGAAAACCCCAAAACCTCTCACACCATGGCCAACAAAACGACGGCCATGGCAGCCTTGATTCCTGCAGAGATTGTGTCAACCAAACACCTGCAGGAAGAGGAATTAGAACTGGAGCCCAGGTGGGATGAAATCTCACCTGTGAAGGCCTTCAGTCCACCAGATGATGTGTCAGACATCATATATCTAGAAAACTTTGAACCAGAGATCCTGGAACCAAGGTTTAAAACCACACCCAGGGAAGCCTTTGTTCATCCAGAGACCCACCAGGAAGAGGAATCAGAGCTGGAGCCCAGGTGGGATGAAATCACACCTGTGGAGCCGTTCATTCCTCCAGTTGGCTCATTTTAAATTTATTTGCTTAGTACTTAGGTCGTTTTAAAATTGTTAGTAGTTAGTTAGATCATTTTCAAATTGTTTGCTTAGTAGTTAGGTTGGTTTAAAATAGTTTTTTAGTAGTTAGTTAGGTCATTTTCAAATTGTTTGCTTAATAGTTAGGTCATTTTCTAATTGTTAGCAGTTAGGTCATTTTCAAATTGTTTTTTAGTAGTTAGGTCATTTTATAATTGTTTGCTTAGGAGTTAGTTGGGTCTTTTTAATCTTGTTTGTTTAGTAGTTATGTCATTTTAAAGGACAAGTAGTTAGGTAGTTGTTTAGAGGTTAGTTAGATCATTTGAAAGTTGTTTGTATAACCTTTGTTTTCAACATGACTTAATCTATTCAATATGATAAACATATTGAATAGATATGTTTATCATAGTATGCTTATCATACTATAGTATGATAAGCATACTGTCATGCTATAGTATGATAAGCATACTATCATGCTATAGTATGATAAGCATACTATCATGCTATAGTATGATAAACATACTATCAACATACTAGCATGTTGTTGAAGCAACATGCTAGTATCAACACTAGCATGTTGATACTACCATATGGATGAGGGTTATCGCTAGCATGTTAACTAAAACAAAATTACTCCATTCAGTATGCTAGCATAGGGTATAAATTAAAATTATTCAAAATGCAAAATTTAGCTTAAGTGACATCAGTAGCACCTATGATGTCACCAGCATGTTAATTTACATTGACTTAATCCATTCAGTTTGATAAATATTGCTAATAAATATGAAATTATGTAAAATGCTTATTTTGGGTACAAGGCTTATGTTAGCATGATGCTTATCATTAACATATTGAGTCACTAGCCTGTAGATACTACCAGTAGGACGTAGGTTATCACTAGCATGTTGACTAACACAAAATTACTCCATTCAGTATGCTATAAATTCAAAATCCTAAGTTTAGCTTAAGAGATGCAAGTAATATTGACATGCTAGTGACTCAATATGCTAATGATAGCCATCCTGCTAATATTTACCCTTATACCTAAAATAAGCATTTTACATAATTTAATATTTATTAGCAATATTTACCATACTGAATGGATTAAGTCAATGTGACATCACACTTACTGGTGTGATGTCACCAGCAAGTGTGATGTCACATTGACTTAATCCATTCAGTATGATAAACATAGCTAATACATATGAAATCATGTAAAATGCCTTGTATTTTAGATACAAGGCTAATGTTAGCATGAGAGTTGCCACCCGTCCCCTAAAATATGGAATCATATTTGGCTGTTAAATGTTGCGTGAACCGATACGATTGGTTCCGTTGTTACGTCAATACACGCGTATATTGCCGCGTGGGCGGGGCGGAGCGGCAAGAAGACGCAGGGGGAACCGTATCTGATGGGGAAACGCGGATTGACGTAACAATGTCTATGGACGCTGCTGTCACGGTTGCCTAGAGACGGACACTGCGCAGCCGCAAACAGCTGCTATCAACCCGCGTCTTTTAAAAATGTCCACCTGATACTCTTCCAAGTCCTTTGAAGCAAAAACTCTTGCAAAAGTTTTTGCATCTAAGACGTGCGTAGAAGACACACATCCCACGGGAAAACATTTCAGTGAGGATGAATACAGGAATAAAAAAAAAAGTGCTGGATCAGGAAACACTGCGGACCCGTCAGAACCTAAAGAACCAGACATTCGCGTCTCGTTAGGCCAAAATGGTACGATCAATCATTTTACGATTGATTAAGTTTCCTATTGTGCTTTTATTGTTATGGTTTGATTATTTGCGTAGGTTGTTGAGTTTGGATGATACGGTTTTTCATAGTATAAACCAAAGTAATATAAATGGCAATTTAAATAACAAAACATACAAACAGATTAACTTTAAATCCGTAAATATTGTGAAGAGAAACCGTTTATTTAAAAGTTTCCTAGGGCTTTCTGTTTAGGGAAAAAAATAGCATATTTTATAAAGACGGTGTTATGTGGTCAGTATTATTTCAGTTATTTTATTAATGTGGGTTGCCAGTTTGGATGACCTGACTTCCTATCAAGATATAAGAATGAAGGTAAAATATGCTAACCAATGCCTCAGACACCGACCTGCAGCCCCTGAACAGGGGCTTCACGCAAGAGGCTCTTTGGCTCACTTATATATTAAATAATAAAATATTGCTTTGTTTTTTATTTCATTTGTTGTTATTTTCGTCTATCCTGGTCCCCGTGGTAAATTTGGTCTAGAACTAGCCTTTGAACCTAACTCCCTATTTGTATAAATATTTTATTAGTTTTTAAAATGCAAGATTTTGCACAGAACTTACTTTTGGTTGTCTGGCATGAATTTAAAAATATCAAACCATGCGTTATGATCCGTTATTCAGTATTTGAGTAGCCCTTTTAACAAATACTTTTTACACTTGCTTATTTAAAGCTTAATCTACTTCTGCTTAACATGTTGAAGTTATGTTATTCTAATTGGAGTACAATTTTTGGGTACTATCTAACCTTTGTAATGATTGCACTCTTGATTTTTTGTTTTTACAAAACAACAGCCATAAAGTAAAATGTACCACTTCTGTGGACCGTGGTGGGCGTCCCTTGTTTTAATTTCTGACTGATATTAAAATATTTAATTTATTGTTAATTATTATTAAGGCATTTAAATAACACCTCCATTCTACCTATTTAAGTGATTTTAGTAATCCAGTTAATTTGTAGCTAGTGATAGCTAGTGATTTTTTTTACTTGAACTACTTTGTCAAAATTCACAATTTGGACATTTTTATACTTCCTTTTGAGTTTCTATAGCTTCTCAAAAAAGCCAAAGTGCTTAAGAAACAAAAATAAAAAACACAATCATCGGTTTTTTGGCAACAAATTAATCTTTTGTGTCTGGCAAAGAAGGTGTTTCAAAAACCTCCTGAATGTCAAATTCAACAGGCAAGGCACCGTTACCTAGCAACCCCAGTCCAGCCCCGTCACCTAGCAACCGAAGCAGAGTTCCAACACTGTTAGTTAACTGGTTTAGCCTTGTATCTGCTATTCAGTGGCTGCTAGAAAAGAGGAGTTTTGTTGTTGACTTACCATCCAGAAACCACTTGTTGCATTCTTTTTGGTTGTGCTACTTCTGCTTTTCACTATTTCATAATTATGAATCTGTTTGTAGCCATTTTAATGAGTGTAAACGTTGACTTCGGGGAACAGCTCACTCTGAAAGGAGCTAAAAATAGACCAAAACCTGAATTATCTAGAAATTATTTTGTGTAAAAAAAATGCAAATGAACATATATGAACATATAATGTTCATATATGTTGAACATATAATGCAATGACCATATAATGTTAATAGACGTATTCTAAACTGTTATGGGGTTAGAAAAAACGTTAAGGAGAAAATACTTTCCCAAAACAATGTACTTTCCTGGAAAGAAGCTAATTTTGATCCATAGATGAAAATTAAGTAATTTAATCCGGGGTTAGATCAAGGAGGCACCATTTGGCTCCAGAGATGTGCATGAACAGATAAATGGTTTCGTCCTGTACAAACATCAGCCGTTCATCATTTGCTCATTTATTATTTTTCACATCCTGTAAAATCAGCTCTGTGTCTGAACCAGTTAAGGCTTTGTAAAGACATATGGCTGTAAATAAAACTGCGGCAGAGGACTTCTGCTGTTTTCTGACTCGGCTTTGGAAAGCTTAAAGATTTAGTTTCAAAGATCCTTAAAAACGCGACTCTGTAAAAGATTCACCGTCGATAAAAAAATACTTCTGCTGATCTGCATCCATCTTATCGTGTTTCTGCCAAAAGTCAGAAAAGATCAGAAGCTCTGGACTGAAAAAAAAAATCAAAACCACATTTGAGATTGTTTTTGTACACAACAGTAAAGACAGTGAAAGGTTGCCGTGACGATGACTGTTGCTGCCGTTGTGCTTTTGAGCAACCCCCACTTTGCATTCCAATCAAAACTCCCAAGTAACAGACGAATGAGACCCTGAAACCATCATTTGTGTTTATGAAGAATTCACCTGACATGAAGGAACAACAGATGCTTTTACTGCAGCGAGACAAACAGGAAGTAGCTGCTAAAAACAGCAGGAAGTCACGAGTCCACGCCCCTCCAGGGAAAAACTACAGGGGTCCCTCTCGTCATGTTTAAAAATCGGTCCATTTGGATCAAGAGTTTGTGGTTTCTCCTCCCAGCGCGATCAAAACCCAGCAGCTTGCGCCTCGTCTCCCTGGCAACGGCATCAATCTCAACAGGAGGAAGTTGGCCCACGACCCAGATTTGAAGTCCCAAACCTGGGGCCTCCTTCTCCCTCCGTGGGGGATGGGGAGGGGAGCGCTGAGCGACTGGTCGGATGGCGGTGTTTGTTGGCATCTGATTGGTCAGAGGGTTCAATCAGTCGCTGTCGGAGCCAACCGCTGACGAGCCTTTCCGCTTCCTCTTCGGCGCTTTGGGCTTTGAGTCTTCCTCCTCCTGCAGCAAACAGACAAACAGAAACAAGGTCATGATGCGTTTCCCCTGGAGCTTAGCCTTAGCTTAGCTTAAAAACACAGACAAACATAATTCGTTTTTATATAAAACACAATAAAGCTGGGACAAGTTCAGGATGTCTAAATAATTTCTTAAAGGGGCAGTGTTGTATGTTTTCCATGTTTTTCATAATGTGATTTATAGCATAGTCAAGTAACTGTTAAATTCAGTTGTTACAAAAATCCTATAGATGCCAAACATGACTTAAAAAAGAAACTTGACTTTGTAATTTAATGCCTTGAAATTGGGCCTCTGTCTCTTTAAAAACTCATGCTGCTTCTGAAACTGCACTTTCAGGAAGTCATCACAACAAGGCTCCTTCATTAACCCTTTATCAATGTTTTTACCAGCGTCACACTGGGAAATAGCTCGCATAGTTCCACTAGGTGTTTGCTAATTACTGCTGGCTAGTCTGAAGGAGCCGAGAGGGGAGGGCTGTTCTGTGAGATGAAGCTTGGAAACTGCAGCTACGAGGAGGGGCTGCATCTCGAAGGCGGAGATAGGTCTAACCAGGCGTTTTGTACAGCTGAATGGTTGCCATGGAGATTAAAGGATTTCTCAAACATGCATGAAAGAATCAAGGCAACAATCTAGGTAATGTTGTTCATGAGGGAATTACATTATAAAACAATTTAAAGTTCAAAAAGTTGATGTTACGTGATACTGCACCTTTAAAACCACAGAAATTTCAACAAATATAAATTTGTTTTTCTGTAAAACACAATAAAGCTGGGACGAGTTCACCACGTTGACATGGGGTCTTAAAAATCCTTTCTAGAATTTCAAATACATCTCAATACATTAGAATGTCATCGAAAATATTTAATTTTATAGAGTCATTACTTGGTAAGCTACTATATTTAAAGCTTTATTTCTGTTAATGTTGATAATTATGGAATCTAGACAATGAAAATATTACATCAAACCATTAAAAATGATTTTACACAACCATTGATGGAAGACTAATGACCTGATGGAAGCGACGGAAGATCATAAAATCACAAAAAAGGTTCAGAGTGTTGAATACAAGCATTTATTTTATAAAGTTTGGTGGAAGAAAAACTATTGTAGAAAAACAGCAAAGAGGATTGTTAAATGTGGGTAATATGTTATATCCAACAACAGAATCATTTTATAGCACGATCTATTAACTATGTTACCAATAGTTGTTATTCAAATGCTGTATGTATCAAATGTGACAATTTGACACCTTGAAATTGTTTCCTTAAGACAATTAAGGTATTTACAGATTAAGGTTTTCAGGATGCACGTCTCACAACAATTAGATGAAAGTTGGATCGGACTGAAGTGTGAACATGATGTGTTCCTGGGTAAATTATTTCCTCTCGCATCTTTGAGAAAATACATTTATTTAAGGCGAAAAAAAATATTGCTCATTTTACGCAGTTTAAGAAGCAAACATGACGGTCTGTTTTAATCTTCGCTTCACTAAAGCGATCAGAAACAGAAAGGAAGTTATTTTTACGTACTGAGGCACTACTGGAGGCGCTCTCCTCCTCGTTGTTGGTGGGCGGAGCTACGCCCTTCCTGGAGCGAGGCGACGAGGCCGGCGCTTTCCTCCTGGACTTCAGAGGCTTCGCCTGGGAATCCTCGTACTCCTCTGCGAGGGCGAACAGGTCGCTGAACCTGCAGAGGCAGAGCGTCGGTCAAAAGAAACCGTGACATTGTGATGAATGCGTGTTTATAGCATGCTGACCTCATCTTGTGAGCTTCGTCGCAGCTGGCCTGAACGTGCTGCAGAGCCTGAAGGATGGGAGTCTGAGTGAAGACTGAAAGAAAGAGGAGAGCCGTCATCGACCTGAGCAGGATCAGCTGCTGTCTGCGTCCGTGTGTGTGTGTGTGTGTGTGAGTGTGTGAGCTCACAGTTGTTCTTCATGTTGCTGAGACTCAGCCTCAGATTGTCCAGGTGCTCCAGGATCTGTTCCAGGGTCAGCTGAGCCAGTTTGCTGCTCGAACTACGAAGACTGAAGGTAAACAAGAGGAAACTGATTCACTGCTAAGCAGAACAAAAATGCAAAACTTAATTTTTCACTTTTTGGACCTAAAGAGGAACAATCTAGAGTAGCCAGGTGAACTTTAGAGTATGAGTCAATGAGTAGATGTGGCCTTAGTTACTATGACAACAGAAGTAAACCAGAAAGCTTAAAAAAGACGGTCACTTTTTATTGCATATAACATTTTTATAAGTGGATTCTGATTTAAATGTGATAGTTTTGTCCAAATGTATTTAATTTATTCTTGAATTGTGGTGAGGGGCCACAAAAAAATTAGTTCAGGGGCGAGAAATGGCCCCTACACCCTAGTTTGAGCCCCCTTGGATGTTGTTAGGTAAATTGTATTATTATCAACTATTTGTTATATCTTTATTATGTTCTTAGTTTATGTATTCTTACTTATTTAGTTTAGTCATATGTTTTAAGGAATGTTTCTGTGTTGTTAATCACTCTGGCTTGCTTTCTCAGAAGGCCTCTCTGAAGAAGAGCAGTGACAGCAGCTCTTCACAGAACGGCCTGCTTTGACCTCTTAGATAGCTATAAAACCATCGCCGTGAAGATTCACAACTTGTCCTGCTTGATCCTGGGTCAGGAACTGGATAAGCTAGTGCGAGATAGATTGTGTTGTTAGTTAGCGATAATCTTGGCTCTTTAACTTTGTGATGAAGTGTCTTTCCCCCTCCCTTTAGAGTTACAGCGCTCTCTGTGATTAGGGATCCTAAAGACAATAAAAAGAGAGGGGCAGGCAAATGTGCTTGAGAGCAGTTGGAGATTTGTAACTGAAAGCACATCTCTGTCTGTTCTCCTCGCGAGTAACCAGAATCTAACTTTCTCTTGTCTTTCCTGTATTATGTGCTGTGTTTAATAGGTGTCAACTCTGACAGATGTGTAGTCGTCCCCACCTCTGCCTCTTGCGCGGCTGGTTGTTGTTCTTGATGAGCTGAGCCTTGATGTGTTCCCCCAGCGTGTCATCGTATTTGGACGCCCAGTGGCGCAGGATGCTGGTGGTGAACTGGTCCTCCGGGTGGCAGGGCCGACTCAGAACCATCTTCACCATTTCCTCACTTGGCCTGAGGGCAGGATAAAGACGGAGACGTTAGCACAGGCGACGGGGTCACAACGTGAAAACACGTTTCATCTGGTCGTACTTTTCCCTGCGGAGCTGCAGCAACAGACAGGACAAGGCCTCCGGATGCTCTGGGAACAAGAACACAGAAAGTTTTAAAAACACAACCAATAACTGTTGGCAATACGTCAACCAATCAATACATCAATCAATATGTCAATCAATACATCAATTAATCCATCCATCCATCCATCAACCAATCAATACATCAATCAATCAATATGTCAACCAACCAATCAATTAGTTTTCCATCCATCCATTGAACCAACAACCAACCAACCAGCCAACCAACCAATGATCCATCCATCCATCCATCCATCCAACCAACCAACCAACCAACCATTGAACCAACCAACCAACCAACCATCCATCCAACCAACCAACCAACCAACCAACCAACCAACCAACCAACCAATCATCCATCCATTGAACGAACCAACCAACCAACCAACCAACTAACCAACAATCCATTCAACCAACCAACCAACCATTGAACCAACCAACCAACCAACCAACCATCCATTGAACCAACCAACCAACCAACCAACCATCCATTGAACCAACCAACCAACCAACCAACCA